GGTGGGCATGGCCGGCTCGCTCGTGTCTGTCCCGGGGGGCCGAGGGGTGGTCGGTTGTGGGGAGGAGGCAATAACCCGTGTTTAGGTGGCCAAGTGAGCTGCAAGACCTCACCAGGGCTCGGTCCCTGGTTGTGAGGGGGATGCTGCGTGCTGGGCGGTGAGCCCCTTCGTGCCCAGGGCTCTGGTACACCCTGGGCAGGGCTGGTGCTGGACCCCTCTTTCTTACCTTCCCAGAGGTTTTCACCCCTTTCCACAGGCTGAAGTAAACAATGGTGAAGATGAGGAAGAGGCAGAGGAGCAGTTGCCAGTGGATTCCCCCCATGTCGTACAGACCCCCGGAATTCTGGAGCTCCAGGACCTTCCTCCTGCGGGCAGGGATCCCCATGGCCGGGGAGGGTGTCTCAGGCCTTGCAGGCAGCCGGGGAGCAGGCTCAGCCCTGGGCAGGTGGTCCCACACTCACCTCTCCCCCAGCACACTGAGAATGGGGACTCTGAGCCCCCCGAGAGCACCCCACCTGCTCCCAGGCACCCTGGTCCTGCTCCCCGAGTGCTTCCACAGGGCTGCGCCCCGGCTTCAGGACATCGTCCCCGTACGTGCACTTACATATAAAACTCTTCCGCGGGGGACCTGGAGAAGTTGGTCCAGGTGACGTTGCTCCTCCCGAAGTAGTTGGTGCAGTCAGGAGTGTTCCAGGGGTTGTCGCAGCTCGCCCAGGGCAGGGTGCCCGAGAAGGACGAGTAGAAGTAGTAGAGAGCCCAGGCGATGATGGTGTTGTAGTAGAAGGAGACGTACAGGCCAATGATGCAAATGGCAAAGCCGATGCCTGGGAATAAAGGGGGTCAGACCCCCGCACCCCCTCGCTGTCCCCCGGGATGCAGCTGCGTGGCCCCGAGTGCGCGGCGGTGGCTTGGGGCTGGGGTCTCTTACCTTTGAAGATGGGGCAGATGCACTTCCAGATGGGGATGGCTCCCGTCCTGTGGAACTGCCCCAGGGCCAGCTCCATGTAGAAGAGGGGCACCCCCCCGAAAACCGCCATCAGCATGTAGGGGATGAGGAAGGCTCCTGCGGGATGAGGAGCAGAGCGGTGGTGACCACGGCAG